GACGTCCCCTTCAGCCCCCTCCACCCCCCCTGCAGGATCCGTCCCCAGCCCCGTCCCCCCATCCCACCCCACGCCCCGGTCCCTCCGTGGGGCTGGATCCAGCCGGGCGTTGCTGGGCCCTGACTCAGGTGAAGCTCCTGCCGGCGCAGCCGGAATTTCTGCCTGGTCCACACCTAATTATTTCCTCCCCAGCCCAGCTGTGGCGGGGCCGGATCCTGACCCAGTATAAATCCCGAGCGGAGCGACGCCGGGGACCGATGTGGCCGGAGGCAGACGGGGATGGAGCCGGAGGCGCTGCCTGGGGTAGGATGGGGACGGGGACGGGGCAAGATGAGGCCCCCGGGGGTGGCCCTGGGGCAGTTTTTGAGGGGTGCTGGGGGGTGGGTTGAGGGTGTGTGGCCCCAGCCACCAGTGTCGCCAGTATAGGTTGGGCTAGGGTCACCAGTGTCCCCAGTATAGGCTGGACTATGGTGACCAGTGTCCCCAGTATAGGCTGTCCCATGGTCACCAGTGTCCCCAGTCAGGGTGGGCTATGGTGACCAGTGTCCCTTCTATTGGATGCCCCATGGTCACCAGTATCCCCAATATAGGCTAGGCTAGGGTCACCAGTATCCCCAGTATAGGCTGTCCTATGGTTCCAAGTATCCCCAGTATAGGCTGGGCTATGGTGACCAGTGTCCCCAGTATAGGCTGTCCCATGGTCACCAGTGTCCCCAGTCAGGGAGGGCTATGGTGACCAGTGTCCCTTCTATTGGCTGCCCCATGGTCACCAGTATCCCCAGTATAGGTTGGGCTATGGTGACCAGTATCCCCAGTACAGGCTGTCCCATGGTCACTGGTATCTCCAGTATAGTTTTGGTTATGGTCACCAGTATGCCCAGTATAAGCTGTTCCATGGTGACCAGTGTCCCCTGTAATGGGTGACCCTGTGCCCTTCCTACAGGCTCTTCCAGAGCCCCCAGTTCAGGATGTCCCAGTGCTCCCAGTCCAGCCTGTCCCATGGCCCCCCCGCACTCCCAGTACAGGCTGTCTCATGCTCCCCAGTGTCCCCAGTAGCAGCCTGGCCCCCGGTGCCCAGTTTGTCCTGGTTAGTCCCCATCCCCCCGCTCCAGTCTGGCCCCACATCCCTCCCAGACCCCGTCACCCAGGTCCCGTTGTTCCCACAGGGGCACTGGGGGAAGGGACGCGGGTCCCTGAGGGACAAGGACGGGGTCACACAGTTGAAGAGCGGGATTTGGGTGCGGACCCTCCCAAAAGCCCCCCCAAAACACGAGGTGGCTCTGTCCCCATGGTGTCCCTCTGCCCTCATGGTGTCCCTCTGCCTCTATGTCCCTGTGTCCCCATGTTCTCGTGGTGTCCTCATGTATCTGCTTCCCCCTGTCCTCGTGGTGTCCTCATGTCCCAGTGTCCCCATGTCCTCGTGGTGTCCTCATGTCTCTGCGTCCCCCTGTCCTCATGTCCCTGTGTCCCCAGTAGTGTCCCCATGTCCTCGTGGTGTCCTCATGTCCCTGTGTCCCCATAGTGTCCCCATGTCCTCGTGGTGTCCTCGTGTCCCTGTGTCCCCATAGTGTCCCCATGTCCTTGTGGTGTCCTCATGTCCCTGCGTCCCCCTGTCTCTATGTCCCTGTGTCCCCCACATCCCCCTGCTGTTCCCATTTCCCCACGGTGTCCCCATGTCCCCCTGTCTCCATATCCCCACGTTACCATGACCCCATGGTGTCTCCATGTCCCCATGACCAAGTGTGCCCATATTTCACTGTCCCTTTGGTCCCCTGTCCCCCGTCCCTGAGGTGTCTTCGGGGTGTGCAGTGGGTGCCATGTGTCCCTCTCTCGGGCAGGGTGACTGCTCATCAGCATGTGGGGGGTCCCCGGTGGAGGCCTCGGGGTGCTGTGAGGAGCGGGTGGCCTGCCTGGGCCGGGAGGACACCTGCGCCTGCCGCGATGGCGCCTTCGTGGAGATGGAGTCCGGGGACAACCAAGGTACGGGGATGGGGGGGCAACAGCAGGCACAGTGGCAGCTGGAGGGGGCAGGCTCACCTGTCCTGCCTGGCCATCCCGTCCCATCCCATCCCATCCCAGTCCCATCCCATCCCCATCCTGTCACATCCCTATCCCATCCCATCCCCTCCCCTCCCATCCCATCCCGTCCCGTCATCCCTATCCTCATCCCCATCCCAACCTCAACCACATCCCATCCCATCCCTATCCTCATCCCTTCCCCATCCCATCCCTATCCTCAACCCCATCCCATCCCATCCCTATCCTCATCCCCATCCCAACCTCAACCACATCCCATCCCATCCCTATCCTCATCCCTTCCCCATCCCATCCCTATCCTCAACCCCATCCCATCCCATCCCTATCCTCATCCCCATCCCAACCTCAACCACATCCCATCCCATCCCTATCCTCATCCCTTCCCCATCCCATCCCTATCCTCAACCCCATCCCATCCCATCCCTATCCTCATCCCCATCCCAACCTCAACCACATCCCATCCCATCCCTATCCTCATCCCTTCCCCATCCCATCCCTATCCTCAACCCCATCCCATCCCATCCCTATCCTCATCCCCATCCCAACCTCAACCACATCCCATCCCATCCCTATCCTCATCCCTTCCCCATCCCATCCCTATCCTCAACCCCATCCCATCCCATCCCTATCCTCATCCCCATCCCAACCTCAACCACATCCCATCCCATCCCTATCCTCATCCCTTCCCCATCCCATCCCTATCCTCAACCCCATCCCATCCCATCCCTATCCTCATCCCCATCCCAACCTCAACCACATCCCATCCCATCCCTATCCTCATCCCTTCCCCATCCCATCCCTATCCTCAACCCCATCCCATCCCATCCCTATCCTCATCCCCATCCCAACCTCAACCACATCCCATCCCATCCCTATCCTCATCCCTTCCCCATCCCATCCCTATCCTCAACCCCATCCCATCCCATCCCTATCCTCATCCCCATCCCAACCTCAACCACATCCCATCCCATCCCTATCCTCATCCCTTCCCCATCCCATCCCTATCCTCAACCCCATCCCATCCCATCCCTATCCTCATCCCCATCCCAACCTCAACCACATCCCATCCCATCCCTATCCTCATCCCTTCCCCATCCCATCCCTATCCTCAACCCCATCCCATCCCATCCCTATCCTCATCCCCATCCCAACCTCAACCACATCCCATCCCATCCCTATCCTCATCCCTTCCCCATCCCATCCCTATCCTCAACCCCATCCCATCCCATCCCTATCCTCATCCCCATCCCAACCTCAACCACATCCCATCCCATCCCTATCCTCATCCCTTCCCCATCCCATCCCTATCCTCAACCCCATCCCATCCCATCCCTATCCTCATCCCCATCCCAACCTCAACCACATCCCATCCCATCCCTATCCTCATCCCTTCCCCATCCCATCCCTATCCTCAACCCCATCCCATCCCATCCCTATCCTCATCCCCATCCCAACCTCAACCACATCCCATCCCATCCCTATCCTCATCCCTTCCCCATCCCATCCCTATCCTCAACCCCATCCCATCCCATCCCTATCCTCATCCCCATCCCAACCTCAACCACATCCCATCCCATCCCTATCCTCATCCCTTCCCCATCCCATCCCTATCCTCAACCCCATCCCATCCCATTCCTATCCTCATCCCCATCCCAACCTCAACCACATCCCATCCCATCCCTATCCTCATCCCTTCCCCATCCCATCCCTATCCTCAACCCCATCCCATCCCATTCCTATCCTCATCCCCATCCCAACCTCAACCACATCCCATCCCATCCCCATCCCATCCCATCCCATCCCATCCCTATCCTCATCCCTTCCCCATCCCATCCCTATCCTCAACCCCATCCCATCCCTATCCTTAACCCCATCCCATCCCTATCCTCATCCCTTCTCCATCCCATCCCCATCCTCAACCCCATCCCATCCCTCCCCCAGTTTGGGATCTCCGTTGCACCACAGCTCTATGTCCCTGTGTCCCCATGTTCTCGTGGTGTCCTCATGTATCTGCTTCCCCCTGTCCTCGTGGTGTCCTCATGTCCCAGTGTCCCCATGTCCTCGTGGTGTCCTCATGTCTCTGCGTCCCCCTGTCCTCATGTCCCTGTGTCCCCAGTAGTGTCCCCATGTCCTCGTGGTGTCCTCATGTCCCTGTGTCCCCATAGTGTCCCCATGTCCTCGTGGTGTCCTCGTGTCCCTGTGTCCCCATAGTGTCCCCATGTCCTTGTGGTGTCCTCATGTCCCTGCGTCCCCCTGTCTCTATGTCCCTGTGTCCCCCACATCCCCCTGCTGTTCCCATTTCCCCACGGTGTCCCCATGTCCCCCTGTCTCCATATCCCCACGTTACCATGACCCCATGGTGTCTCCATGTCCCCATGACCAAGTGTGCCCATATTTCACTGTCCCTTTGGTCCCCTGTCCCCCGTCCCTGAGGTGTCTTCGGGGTGTGCAGTGGGTGCCATGTGTCCCTCTCTCGGGCAGGGTGACTGCTCATCAGCATGTGGGGGGTCCCCGGTGGAGGCCTCGGGGTGCTGTGAGGAGCGGGTGGCCTGCCTGGGCCGGGAGGACACCTGCGCCTGCCGCGATGGCGCCTTCGTGGAGATGGAGTCCGGGGACAACCAAGGTACGGGGATGGGGGGGCAACAGCAGGCACAGTGGCAGCTGGAGGGGGCAGGCTCACCTGTCCTGCCTGGCCATCCCGTCCCATCCCATCCCATCCCAGTCCCATCCCATCCCCATCCTGTCACATCCCTATCCCATCCCATCCCCTCCCCTCCCATCCCATCCCGTCCCGTCTCCATCCCCATCCCCATCCCCATCCCCATCCCTATCCCTATCCTTATCCCTATCCCTATCCCCATCTCCATCCCCATCCCGTCCCATCCCATCCCCATCCAATCCCATCCCATCCCCATCCTGTCCCATCCCCATGCATCCCAACCTGTCCCATCCTATCCCTGTCCCCTCCCCTCCCATCCTGTCCCGCTTCTATCCCCTCCCATCCCCATCCTGTCACATCCCCATCCCTGTCCCATCCCATCCCCATCCCATCTCCATCCTGTCCCATCCCATCCCATCCCCTCCCATCCCCATCCTGTCACAGCCCCACATCCCCGTCCTGTCCCATCCCATCCCATCCCATCCCATCCCGTCCCGTCCCGTCCTGTCCCGTCCCATCCCATCCCCATCCTGTCCAATCCCATCCCATGCCATCCCCATCCCATCCCAGATTTGGGGTCCCCATGGCACCAGTGCTCACGTCCTCACGGTGGGGTGGGCTCCCTGGTGCCTGCAGATGTTGGGGGGTGGCTCAGGGTCCTCCTGACTGTCCCTTCCTGGTCCCCAGAGCCGCTGACGGAGGATGACATCTACTGCCGCTGCCTCTCCAAGACGCTGTGCCACACGGCCACCCCTGTCACCGTTGGCTTCTACGCCCCCTGCGGCCACCGCCTCGACTCCCTGCTGGACAAGGTCACTGGTGGGTGTGGGGCCATGGGGCCACCACAAATAACCCTCCCAGCCAGCCCGGCTGGGGTTCAGGGGGTCCCCAATGGGACCAGCATCCTGCCTGTTTGTACCCAAACTTGGCATCCCTGCTGCAGCAGTGTCTGTCCTGCTCCCCCCCACTTCGCCCCCAGATTTGGTGTCCCTGTTGCTCGTCCCACCACCCCATTTTCTTCTACAGATTTGGGGTGCCCCATGGCACCAGCACCCATCCCATCCCTGTTTCTACCCTGAGTTTGAAGTCCCTCTTGCATAAACACCCAGCCCTTGTCTCCCCTACATTTGGGGTCCCATCAGCTTCCACCCCATCCCATCCCTATCCTCATCCCCATCCCAACCTCAACCACATCCCATCCCATCCCTATCCTCATCCCTTCCCCATCCCATCCCCATCCCCAGCCCCATCCCCATCCCCATCCCCATCCCCATCCCCATCCCCATCCCATCCCATCCCATCCCCATCCCCCATCCCATCCCCATCCCATCCCATCCCATCCCATCCCTATCCTCATCCCTTCCCCATCCCATCCCTATCCTCAACCCCATCCCATCCCTATCCTTAACCCCATCCCATCCCTATCCTCATCCCTTCTCCATCCCATCCCCATCCTCAACCCCATCCCATCCCTCCCCCAGTTTGGGATCTCCGTTGCACCACAGCACCCTCCCATCCCCCCCCATATGGCTCAGGGTGCCTTTCACCCCCCTGTTCCCTCACCCCAGCTTTTCTCCCAAGGCTTCATGCGGCAGGAGATGGCGCAGCGGGAGGAGGCCGAGCTGCGCCGGAGCCATCAGAAGCCACGTAGCCCTGAGGGCTGGGGGCTGCTGCTGGTGCTCTGGTACCTGGCCTTCTACAAGCCCATCATCACCGAGGCCCACCTGAGGAGGAAGAACATTGAGTTCATCTTCATCCGCTTCAGCGCCTGGCAGTACGCTGGCTGTGACAAGCTCTGGGCCGGTTTGGTCACCACCCTCTGCGACAGCATCCGCCACCATTTTGGGGCCCTGCCCCTCAGCGTCTACCACGTCATGGGCACCCGGCCCCGCTTCGCCTCCGGCTTCAGCCAGAAGGAATGGGTCCTCAAGACGGGCACCTGCCTCAAGCTTTGGGGGATGCTCTTCGTCCTGAGCGCCGGCCTCAGCATCCTGTTGGTGGCCCTCTTGGTGCCCGGCATCAAGGATCATCATGCCTTGAAGGTGGTGGGCAGCGCCGTCACCTCGCTCTCTGGTTCCGGTCTGGCACTGGGAGCTTTCTCCATCCTGAAGAACCTGCTGATCAGTGAGAAGCAAAAAATCGAGCGGTTGACCAACAGCGAGAAGTTCACCAGCCAGCTGGGCTTCATGAGCAAGGTGCGCAACGAGGTGGAGGTGCTGGTCGACTACTTGTCCTTCATGGAGATCTTTGAGCGCCGCCGGCTCCGTGTAGTGCTGGAGATCACCAGCCTGGACATCTGCTACCCGGAGAAGGTGGCCGGCGTCCTCAACGCCATGAACACCTTGCTCTCCGAAGCCAACACGCCCTTCATCTTCATCCTGGCTGTGGACCCCAGCGTCATCGTCCCCTGCCTGGAGCAGACCGGCTGCATGAAGGGTCTGGCCGACAACGGTTACCTCTACCTCAACCGGACGGTGACGTTGCCCTTCTCCATCCCCGAGATGGGCGCCCGCTCCCGCCTGCGATTCCTGGAAGCCGCCATCCAGACGCGGGAGGACCTCATGTACCGCATCATCACCGGCAACGTGGAGCGGCGCCGAGCCAAGTGCCGGGGCGCCCCGGCGGTTCCCAGCCGGCGAGAGGCGGACGCCGAAGCCGTGCGCTGCATCCACGAAGCTTTCCACTGCCTCCACGACAGCGCCGACCCTCTCGCCCGTTACCTCCCCACCAGCGGCGCCCACGTCCGCCGCATCGTCAACACCATCCCCGTCACCCTACGGCTCCTCCTGCACCGCGCCGGCACCCCCGGCACCCCCTCACCCCGCGCCGCCGCCGCCTGGGTGGTGCTGGCCGACCAGTGGCCGTGCCGGCTGAGCTGGGCGCTGCAGTGCCTGGAGGATGCTTGGCAGAGCCGGCCGTCACCGGATTTCGGCGCCCGAACCCTGTGGAGCATCTTCCAGGAGACCGTGGGGGAGCTGAGCTCCCTGCGGCAGCCCCTGCACAACGTCCTCAGCCTGGACGGGGACCCCGAGCTCTTCCAGACCTTCCTGGCCTCTGACTTCCCCTTCACCGCCCGCGATGCCCGCGCCTTCCTCGGTGTCACCGTCAACCTGGACCACTCCATCCGGCACAAGATGGGGCTCCTGCGGGCCGTCAACCGCCTGCAGAAGGCCACTGCCACCCCGGTGTCCCGCAGCGTCCAGTGTCCCCACCCCGAGTGACGGGGACACCAGAGTCAGGTCTCCAGGTGACGCCTCTGGACGTCGGGCCCCCAAAATCGGTTTGGACGTTGGTGATACCAGGGTGTCCCTGTGGTCAGCGGCCAGAGGATGCCCATGACCTCCTGTCCATCCCCCAACAAATTCTGGGACCTGTTTGGGGACAGGGACGGAACAGGGATGGGGACAATTCCTCTCCCAACCCCGTCCTCCAAGAAGAGACACTGCAGGAGGTGAAAATGCCACCAGGGAATGGAGCTGGGAGGACTGGGAGAGACTGGAGGGGACTGGAGGAGACCCAAGATCACCCAGGGGTTCCAGGGGGAGGGGGGGGTCACTGCCATCCCTGGGACTGGGTGACTCCAACCCCCCCCATGCCTAGGACCCCAGCACCCAAGTACCCACTGCCACCCCCACCCCGACACCCTTTGGGGAATGTCCCCCTGGTCCTGAGGAGGGAGGGGGATATGGGGGGGCCCCCAAGAAGCTCCAAAGCAGCCACCGGCCCCACTGCCAGGGTGGCCCCAAAACAGGGACGTCCCCAAGCTGTGTCCCTCCTGGTGAAGCCCCCCCAGGACCGCTGGAGCCATCCCATAATAAACCAGTTAAACCTCACACTCTGTGTCTTGGCTTAAATACGCTTTTGGGGTCCTCCTTGGGGAGGGGGGGGGAGAGGGGTCCTGGAGGCTGGAAACAGCAATAAGGGGGTGCAGGGGTGCTGATTTTGGGGGGAAATCAGCCCAAACTGCTGGTGGGAGGGATGCTGGCAGCACTGGGGGGAGGATGTGGTGCGATACGGGGCATCAGCACCGTTAGTAGGTGCCAAACACCCAGTTCCTGCTGGCATCTCCCCCCAGCTCCAGAGGACCCCTCTCCTGAGGGCAAACAGCGCTCAGTTCATGATGTACACAGACGGAGGGGACGTTGTAAACACTCTGTACGGGAAGATACAGACCCTCTCCTGATGGCCACCAGCGTTCAGTTCATGATGTACACAGACAGAGGGGACGTTGTAAACACAAGCTAGATAGCATGGTAGCTGTGGGCTGGGCCAGAGGAGCTGGTGGTGGCCTAATTTCCAACTTTGAGCAGCTGGTGAGAGGAGTGTGGAAACCTGAAACCAATGAGCTACTGAAGATGTCCTACCCTGTGAAGGTAACTTTGATAGGAGCAGTTCTTTTCACCCTGCAGCACAGCCAATACTTGCCAATAGCAAGACACAACCTTGTGTTTTTATACACCATCTTTCTTGTGGTCTCTAAGGTAACGATGATGTTGACAAGATCCACAACTTCTCCATTTGCCCCCATTGAGGCTGCATTAGGCCATATGTTCTTTGGCTTGCAGAAGATGCCATCCAAAGTGAAGGGTGAAGGTGCCACATCTTCCAATGGCTCTTCAGTCTGTGACTGGTCTTCTTCTGAACAGCAGCGTGATGGTATTAAGAAGAGACAGGCAAAGAAAACAGAATAAGTGGTTTAAAATCCTTGATGGTCATAACCTTTCAAGACTTTGTATTTCAGATTAGGCTGGCTGAGAAATTTGTTTCAAGAAATGCATGTGAGGAGAGAACAGGGAGGTGGTTGAGTCACCGTCCCTGGATGTGTTTAAGGGCCGTTTAGATGCGGTACTGAGGGATATGGTGTAGGGGAGGACTTTGTAGAGTAGGGGAGATGGTTGGACTCGATGATCCCAAGGGTCTCTTCCAACCTCAATGATTCTATGATTCTATGATTCTATGATAAGGCTGTGTCACCCACCAATAGATGCCATTTGTCGTCCACCACATTGGTGTCTGCGAGCCGATGGACCGAGCGGCCTGGGGTTGGTCACCGTGGCCGTTCCTGAACCAGGTCCCCACACCTACGATAGGCAACAAGCGGTGCCGAAACCCGGGATCGTCGCCTGGATTGGGGTGAACGGCGGCCGGAGCGGCTGGACCAGCCCGGCGGGGGAGGTCAGGGGAGGACGCTCCCAGACCAGGACCAACAAGGAGGATGGAAGCCCTTGTGAAGGTCGTATCCCAATTACATGAGCAGTGGGGCATTGATTGTAAGCCCAAAGATTTTACTCTTGCCGTTGCGAGCCTTTTACGAATAGGGGTCATTGACCAGCCGGTGGATATTCTCTACTCAGAAGTGTGGGACAAATGCACTAAAGTGTTGGCTGAGGAGACGATGTCCTCGGGTTGTGGGAAGGATCTTAAGTCGTGGGGGAAGGTCGTACAGGCTTTAAAGAAGGCCAGACAAGAGCAGGAGACCTGGAGGGCAGCAAGGGACTGTCTGTTGGTCACCCCGAAGTTGGGAGCTGGGGCAGCCACACAGACTCCGCGCCCCCCAGACGATGGCGATTTTGCCGAGCCTAAAGACCCATGGGAGGGCGATACGTCCCCGGGGTCCCCGAACCCCGACCCGCTCACAGAGGGACAAAATCAAGCAAAATCCTTCTGGGGCGAGTTGGCCGAGGAGGCCAGGGGTGCCACAGGGAAATCAGAGTCTGAGGCCGCCTGGGTGAGAGAGGTGGTTCTTCCACTTTACTCTGCTCTGGTGAGATCTCACCTGGAGCGCTGTGTACAGGTCGGGAGCCCTCAATATAAGAAGGACATGGACCTGATGGAGCGGGTCCAGAGGAGGGCCACAAGGATGATGAGGGGGATGGAGCACCTCTGCTACGAGGACGGGCTGAGGGAGCTGGGGTTGTTCAGCCTGGAGAAGAGGAGGCTCCGGGGAGACCTAATAGCAGCCTTCCAGTACCTGAAGGGGCCTACAGGAAGGCTGGGGAGAGCCTGTTTACAAAGGCCTGTAGTGACAGGATGAGGGGCAATGGCTTTAAGCTGGAGGGGAGCAGATTTAGATTGGAGATTAGGAGGGGGTTCTTCACTGTGAGGGTGGTGGAGCACTGGAACAGGTTGCCCAGGGAGGTGGTTGAGGCCCCATCCCTGGAGATATTCAAGGTGAGGCCTGATGAGGCCCTGGGCAACCTGGTCTAGTTGGGGGTGTCCCTGCTGAGTGTGGGGAGGTCGGACTGGATGACCTTTGGAGGTGCCTTCCAGCCTGGGAAATTCTATGATTCTATGGGTGAAACCTCCGCCACGTGAGATTCCAGCTCAGAGGAGGAGCAAATGGGGATAGACAGAGTCAAAAGCCAAAATATCCCCATCTGCAATAGAGAGGAGCTGTGAAGGGAAAAAACTCCTCTCATGGATTGGAGAAAAATAAAGATTGCATGCGCCGATTGGGCCCCATCGGCCACACTAGCGATCCCGGTCCGGGTGACGGATGGGGGACAAAGGGTCCACTCCCCAATAAATCCTAAGGATGAACAAGCGATTGTTAAAGCAGTCGCAGAGAAAGGGATCAATTCTACCATGGTTTCCGCCCTCATAGATGGAGTTTTCGGGGGAGACGACATGCTCCCGTTCGATATAAAACAAACTTGTAGGTTGATCTTTGACAGGGCAGGGATTATTGTTTTTAAACAAGAATGGGAGGAAAACTGTGCGAAGCAACTAGCCCGAGTAACCGGGGCAGACCATCCACAACAACTCCAGCCTGCAGCGGCTGATGGGTTATGTTTTTAAACAAAAATGGGAGGAAAACTGTGTGAAGCAACTAGCCCGAGTAACCGGGGCAGACCATCCACAACAACTCCAGCCTGCAGCGGCTGATGGGTACAGACCCAACAGTGATCACCCCCCACGCGCAAGCCCAGGGCCTGCAGGCCCATGAAGTTATGACAACCCCTCCCGCGGCCAGAGAAGCCATTCGTGCAGCTTCTAGAGTTATCGCCAAGCCATCGCCATGGTCCACAATAAAGCAAAGTGTGAGTGAGATTTTTACACAATTTGTGGATCGCCTCCAGGCAGCTGGTCGACTCCTCGACCCTGCGTGCGGAAGCAAAAGGCCCGGTGGTTGCAGACTGCTTACGTCAGCAGTGCAATTCGAAAACCAAAGAAATCTTACGATCGCTGCCAGTGGGGTCAAGTCTCGCAGACATGGTCAAGCATGTGAATGAAGAGCATCTAGCCCCAATTCAGATGACTGTTCGCACCGCAATAGCTGGTGTGATGACATGTTTTCAATATGGTCAGGCAGGCCACGTTGGTTGTGGCAAACTGCCCTCGGTTGGGGGACCCCCCCCAGCAGCGCTCCCCCCATGCCAGAATCGACCTAGGGGACCGTGTTGGGCTTGTGGAAAAAAGGGACATTTCACCAAGGACTGCAGAACTAAATTTCAGGGAAACAGGATGGGGAGAGGGCACCCGGGCCGTGCACGGCCTTCTCCCGCGTGGGACATGAGGTGGCCCAGCCATACCAACCCCAGGTGGGGCGAGGTGCTTTCGAACCCATTGCCCCCTCGAGAAGGGACCGATTTTATGGTCCAACCGAGGGTCCAGCCGAATCAGCCCCTATCTCAGGGACAGCAAGGCCCACCCTTTGGGGGCGAGACCCCCGGGTGGCCCTGGCAGTAAGGTGTGACAACCCGCCAGTGGTGGGGGGGATCTGCTCTCTCTATAATACCCCCAATGACATCGCCATTAAGATTCCCTTTTTGATTGATACCGGGGCAGATGTTACGGTTCTTCCTAAGACGCACTGGCCCCCATGGTGGAAATTGGAAGACGCCCCCATGGTGGGTGGAGTTGGGGGATTAACCCGAGCTCGAAAGAGCGCTCAATTGGTAACAATCACACTTTACACCGAAGAGGGACCGGAGAAACCCATCAACCTTTTCCATATGTCATGTCAGGAGTTCCACCCCTCTTGGGAAGGGATGCTCTAGCCCTGTTAAAAGCCAGGGTGACAAATTTACCTTGAGGGCCACTGCTGCACACCCACTTCCACCAATTAGACTGATATGGAAATCGTCCGACCCAGTGTGGGTCGAGCAGTGGCCCCTGTCGAAGCCTCGAATGGATGCTCTTCTTGAGCTAGTCGACCACAAGCTACAACGAGGTCATGTAGAGCCTTCGACCAGCCCATGGAACACCCCAGTTTTTGTAATACCCAAGCGAACAGGGGAGGGATTTCGCCTCCTCCTTGACCTGCGTGAAGTAAACAAAAGAATCCAACCAACGGGTCCTGTCCAAACGCTGCTGCCCATGAACTCTACGATACCAGAAGGACAACCTTGTGCTGTCCTCGATATTAAAGACTGTTTCTTTTCGATACCCCTGCATGAGGGGGATAGGGAGCCTTTTCTGTCATGTTTCCAAATAGCCAACGTCCCAACTTAGGCTTCCAGTGGAAAGTGTTGCCCCAAGGAATGATCAACTCACCTACCATCTGCCAAATTACGGTGGGTCGGGCATTGGCACTGGTTCGACACAGTAGCCCGACTGCGACCATCATTCAATATATGGATGATATTTTGATCGCCGCTCCATCAGGAAGTCAGATGGACCAGCTGGTGACAACCGTTTCAGAAACTCTAAAAGCGAACGGGTTTGAAATTGCGAGCGGCAACGATAGGCAACACCCAGGGTTTTGGTTTTTTTTTGGGGGGGGGGTAATCTCTGAATTTGCCTCATCTTTTGCGCAGAGGCTCAAAAAACCGCTGCATTTTGAGGGGGGGGGGGAAGGGGATGCCCACGAGCCACCGACAGGGAGAGGCCGGG